GACTCCCTTGCCGTTCCTTTCCCCTTCCCGTTGCGGTCCTCCTCTTCGTTCCGTCGGTTCTCCCATTCCCGTCCTCCCGTTGGTTTTTCCGTTGTCCTCTTTCGGGTCTTCCCCATTTATACGTTTGTTGTTGTAAATGTAATTTGTCGTTGTCGTATTATTGGTGCTGTGTGTAGTGTAGTGTCGATTTCACTTATTGGTCTTGTTATGAATATGTGTGTTTTTTTTATCATAATTGTTGTGAGTGTGAAGTAGATATTGTGGTGATATTTGAATAAATGAAGAAGAGTTGTATTTTGATGTGTAAAGTAATTGTTATTGAGAATAATAATGTTAAGTTATTATGCGTGTAATGTTTTTAGTTTGAAATATTTGTCGTCCGGGGTGCGAATACGTAGTCGCGAGGCAAGAAATGCGTATTACGAACGGTTGCGAGGGAGTTTAAGTGGAGATATGAAGGAGTTGAAGAGTGTAAGTTAATGTTGTGGACTTGTAAGAAGTTGTGTTGTGGAGTAGTCATCGATTTCAATTTGAACGGAGTCAATTGCGGACGCGTAATTTGTCCGTGGACCGGAACGGTCGTACGACGTGGCGTAAGTTATTTGTGAATGTATAGTTGTTTGTATAGTGGTGTGTATTTTGTTGTGGACTTTAAATATGAGGGAGTCGTCGTCATAAATTGTCACAGTCGTAACGTCGTCGTCGCGAGTCGTCGGATTCACGCGGGGACCGGTAAAGAATGTCGTCTCGTTAAAATGCGGTCATCCGTGGACTGGTAAAGAGTTTGGAAATGTGTTGTTTTAATTTATGCAAGTTAATTGTGGACTTTTAGTATTTTTTGATTTGCAATTTGTTTTAATGTACTAGTTAATTGTCGACTTTGACAATGTTTTGACTTGTCTATTTTTGGGTTTAATTGGTAGTTAATTGTAGACGCGTAATATTGTTTGACTCGTATATTGTTGCGGTTATTTTACCGGAGTTATTTGTACGTAGAATAATTGTTGGACGCGTAGTTTTTTTGTTTGATTTGAGGAGTTGGTATATTTTTGATGTGGGTGTGGACTTTGAATAATTTTCAATGTTTGTGGACTTTGAACATGTTTCATCTTTTGTGGATTGAACATTTGTGAACTTCGAAAATGTGTTCCATTTATGTGGACTTTGAAAAGTTGTAGTTTGTAGACTGAATATTTGTTATTGTTTGTGTATTTGAAATGTTTAACCTTTGTTGACTTGGAATAATTTATAATGTTTGTTGACTGATTTTTTGTTGCCTTTTTGTGGACTTGGAATATATTGATTGGTCTTGGTATAGTTTTCATGTGTGTGTGTGTGTGTGTGGGTACTCTGAATTTTGTTTTGATGTTTGTGGACTGTGTAATGTTTGTGTATTTTGAATAATGTAAATTTTTTGTGGATAATATATTTTTCATGTTTGTGGACATAGAATATATTTTATGGAATTGGTATATGTTTCATGTGTATGAAGGTAGAAAATGCTTTCATGTTTGTGAACTTAGAATATTTCTTATCGTTTGTGGAATTGGAATAATTTATTATGTCTGTGGACTTGGAGTATTTGTTATCCTTTGTGGAAATTGAATATTTTGTATCCTGTGTGGACTTATAATAATTTCTAATGTTTGTGGACTTGGAAAAAAAAAGCTTATCGTTTGTGGACTTAAAATAATTTATTATGTTTGTGGACGTATAAAATGTTTGTATCTTTTGTTGATTTAGAAAATTTTGTTATCATTTGTGGACTTGGAATAATTTATTATGCTTGTGGACTTCGAAAAATGTATATCTTTTGTGGACTTAAAAAATTTTTTCATCCTTTGTTGACTTGGAAAAAATTCTAATGTTTGTGGACTTAGAAAAAAAATGTTATCCTTTGTTGACTTAGAAATAATGTTTATATCTTGTGGACTTCTAATAATTTCTTATGTGTGTGGAGTTATAAAAATTTATTATGTTTGATTTAGACAATTTTTTGTATGATTTGTTGACTTACAAAATTTATATGTTTTGTGGTCTTATAAATATTTTGTATGTTTTTTGGACTTTGAATAATTGATAATGTTTGTTGATTTAAAAAAATTTATATATGTTGTGTAGTTATATAAATTTATATCCTTTGTTGACTTAGAAAAATTTATATCCTTTGTGGACTTAATATTTTTCATCCTTTGTGGACTTTGATTAATTTATAATGTTTGTTGAGTTATAAAAATTTGTATCTGTTGTGGAGTTAGAAAAAATGTATATCCTTTGTTGACTTAGAAAAAATTATAATGTTTGTGGAGTTACAAAAAAAAATTTGTATCCTTTGTTGACTTAGAAATATTTTTTATATTTTGTGGACTTTGAAAAATTTCTTATGTTTGTGGAGTTAGCCAAATTTATTATGTTTGACTTAGAAACTTTTGTTATGGTTTGTTGACTTAAACAATTTATATTCTTTGTGGTCTTAGAAATAGTTTGTATGTTTTTTGAAATTTGATTAATTTATAATGTTTGTTGATTTAAAAAAATGTATATATGTTGTGGAGTTATAAAAATTTATATCCTTTGTGGTCTTAATATTGTTCATCCTTTGTGGACTTAGAATTTGTTTTCATCCTTTGTGGACTTTGATTAATTTATCATGTTTGTTGAGTTATAAAAATTTATATCTGTTGTGGAGTTAGAAAAAATGTATATCCTTTGTGGACTTAGAAATATTTTTTATATTTTGTGGACTTACAAAAATTTCTTGTTTGTGACTTAGAAAAATTTATATGTCTTGTGGATTTAGATTAATTTACTGTGTGTGTGTGTGTGGACTTAGAATAATTTCTTATCCTTTGTGGACTTAAAAAATTTATATCCTTTGTGAATTTCTAAATATTTTTCATGCTTTGTTGACTTAGAAAAAATTATAATGTTTGTGGACTTTTAAAAAAATTGTATCCTTTGTTGACTTAGTAATATGTTATATGTTTTGTGGACTTCTAAAAATTTTTTATGTTTGTGGACTTAGAAAAGTTTGTTTGACTTAGAATTTTTTTTTTTATCCTTTGACTTATAAAATTTATATCCTTTGTGGACTTAATATTTTTCGTTCTTTGTGGACTTAGAAATCTTTTTCATCCTTTGTGGACGTTGATTAATTTATAATGTTTGTTGACTTATAAAAATTTATATCTTTTGTGGAGTTATAAAAATTTATATCCTTTGTGGACTTAGAAATGTTTTTTTATTTTTTGTGGACTTAGAAAAATTTCTTATCCTTTGTTGACTTAAAATTTTAAGTTATATCATTTGTGGGCTTAGAAATATTTTTCATTCTTTGTTGACTTAGAAAAAGTGTGTGTGGACTTAGAAAGATTTCTTATGCTTTGTGGAGTTAGATTTTTTTTTTGTATCTTTAGTGGTCTTAGAAAAATGTCTTATCCTTTGTGGACTTAGAATAATTTATAATGTTTGTCGATTTAGAAAATTTACTGTGGACTTGTAATAATTTTCATCTTTTGTGGACTTAGAAAAATTTACCATGTGCATGGACTTTGAAAATTTTTGTATCCTTTGTTGACTTAAAAGGATTTACTATGTTTATGGACTTACAAAAGTTTACTGTGTGGACTAAGAAAAATTTTCATCCTTTGTGGACTTAGAAAAAATTTACTATTTGTGTGGACTTGGAAACTTTTTCATACTTTGTTGATTTAGAAATATTTCTTATATTTGTTGACTTGGAAAAAATTCTTATCATTTGTGGACTTATAAAAATTTCTATGGTTTGTGGACTTGTAAAATTTACTATGTTTGTGGACTTAGAATATTTTTCATACTTTGTGGACTTAAAAAAAATTTATGTTTGTTGACTTGGGAGAATTCTTTTGTGGACTTACAAAAATTTACTGAGTGTGGACTTAGTATATTTTTCATCTGTTGTGGACTTAGAATAATTTTTTGTTTGTGGACTCAGAAAAATTTTCATCCATTGTGGACTCTGTACATTTTTCATGTATGTGGACATAGAAATATTTTCAGTGTAATAAAAGAAAGCATATAATCAATGTCTTTATTTTTCACAAGTTAAAGTACAGCCATATTTGGACATGGTAAACAAACACATTGAACTTGTAGAAAGTGCGATCACGTAGAGAACTGCAGTCGTAGAAAACTTGGGTGTTGGAGCTGTAGAAAACGGAGGAAAATTTCCCATTTTCTCCAAGTGAACAGAAAACAGGAGGTTTTGGAGCCATAGAAAACAGAGGAGTTTCCCATTTTCTCAAGTCGAACAGAAAACGGGGGTTTTTTCCGCTATCTTTTTAAGATAGGCCCTGGCCATCCTTCCTATATTTTATAAGTTATTTTAGAGTGTTTATTGAGCAACAAAGGTGATTTTTCAACTGAAAGAAAGTAGTTATTCCAAATTGGTTTTAAGTTATGTTTTATGTTTTGTTTGCAAACCAACTTTGACCATACTGTCGATACTGACAATAATGTCAGTACCGACAATACGGTCTAGTCATAAAGCTCTCTTGACACAGATATCGTGTCTATGGACTATTGTCGTGTGATAGATCGACAATGTCCGAGCTTTTGTTTGCAAACAAACATCAAAACACCAACTCTCCAATGAGGAATAACTACTCTCTTTCAGTTGAAAAATCACCTTTGTTGCTCAATAAACACTCTAAACAACACCACATGTGTTCCCGTGTACCTGCAAGTAAAGAAAAAAGACATTAAAATTCACACAATGATACAATTCCTATTATTCAACACATTGACTAATGTCAACACCTTTACTTTACATAAAATCATATTACATTAACTAATCTCAACTTTTCACACATTACCTTCATCTTCTCATGGCCAGCTCCACTTCTTCCGATGCCTCAATCACTTGTTGTTGTCGTCGTCGTCATCCTTCTACCTTGTGTGTTTCTAGTTCACACACCATCTCCCACTCAAAATGCACATCAGGCCACAAAGAAAACACAAAATTCAACTCAAATACATATATTCTATACACATAGCAATATAATACAGTACAGTACATCAATTGCTGCTTCAAACATCTCAGCTATACATTCAAAGGACAACTTCTCGGTTCCAGTCACAGGGACAACGGCTATACGTTCAAAGGACATCATCTTCTCGCCTCCATACACCCAGGTCACATGGACGACGTCCTCTCAGCTTCACACACCCCAGGCAAAGGAACAGCAGCTATATATTCAAAGGACATATTTTCGGCTCCATACACCCCAGTCACACGGACAACGTCTTCTCAGCTCCAGTCACAACGACTATACGTTCAAAGGACATCATCTTCTCGGCTTCACACACCCCAGGCAAAGGGACAACAGCTATATGTTCAAAGGACATCTTCTTTTCGGCTCCATACACCCTAGTCACATTGACGACTTCTTCTCGGCTCCATACACCCCGGTCAACGTCTTCTCGGCTCCAGTCACAGAGACAACGGCTATAGGTTCAAAGTACATCATCTTCTCGCCTCCATACACCTAGGTCACATGGACGACGTCCTCTCGGCTTCACACACCCCAGGCAAAGGGACGACGGCTATATGTTCAAAGGACATCTTTTCGGCTCCATACACCCAAGTCACATTGATGACTTCTTCTCAGCTCATCACAAGGACGACAGCTATACGTTAGAGGACTTCTTCTCAGCTCCATACGCCCTAGTCACAGGGACGAACGACTATACTTCAAAGGACATCATCTTCTCGGCTCCACTCACAGGGACAACGGCTATACATTCAAATGACATCATCTCCTCGACTCCTTGCACCACGGACGACGTCCTCTCGGCTTCACGGGGACGACGGCTATACGTTCAAAGGACATCTTCTCGGCTCCAGTCACCCCAGTCACTGGGACGACGGCTATATGTTCAAAGGACGTCATCTTCTCAATCACGGGGACGGCACCTACACGCAATCCTCGACATCAACTTGGCCACACCGACTTCACCCCCCTCACTTCAATCTGAAAAAGAGAAAACATTTACCAAATTCCAATTTCATTTTACTCCCCCACTAAGGATGGAGGTCACAATGACCCTTTCTATCAAATTTATCACAGGTACGAGGCACTAGCCGCGTGCTTCTTCCCGGCAGAGCTGGACAATATTTCCCAAGGTCTGCTGCGCACTCACCCGCCCACAAAAATCACTCCTGGGGGACACCGTCCGCTGGATGTCCACCGCAACTCCGTCTGCTCCCGCCGGATCTGTGGGACAAATGGCATTCTCCATCGGACGCACGACAAATATGCCGCTTCTCCGGACGCTTGCAAACCGACGCGACCGTGTCGGTACGGCCCAGAGGATGAACCCTCACATGCTGGGTCTCCATAAACAGCAGTACGTACCTGACGAGGACAACGCCGTACACACGAAAGTTTGTTATAACCGAGCTGCTGCAAATCCACTTTCTTACAGCAAATACTGGCCTTTCGTCCTCTGCTCTTTCCTATCTGGATACGTTGCAAACTCTTCGTGGTGCTTCAAATATATCATATACAAATCAGTCTGGTGATGCCAACTTGCTCTAACTGCAATATCCAATACGTGCCACGGCCTCCTCGTTCCTCTTCCAATTTACCCACTCTCCTCTCAACATGGTGCACCAAAGTCATCACACATCCATCTTCAACTGCCTCGGTTATTCCCTCGCTCTCGCCGCCTTCCCTGCAACTCACTTCCTATCTTCACAAAACCTTTGCCCGTCGTCTTCCATTCGTTAACCAACTGTCTCTCCACCACAGCACCCTTGTCCCAACCTAATGGCGACTCCCACTACGTGTGCTGCTTCCAAAGAGACGGCTCCAAAACGTGTCTGCAACCGATGGATAACTCCACTGAAAAAAAAAACACAATCTTCGTGCACCCACTTCAAATCCACCCCTTTCCAACACACTTCCTGCCCTAAAACAAACCACCATTTACCAAAAAACATCTTCATTCTTACCTAGGCTAAGCCCATGTCTACCAACACCAAACTTCTTCTACCACTCACAAAAATTTACTCGACAAATCGTTTTGTACGCTTTCGCACAAAAACCAGAATCCCACAACCACTTTCCCCTAAATCAAACACTCTTACACATTTCACCACAAACTTTTAAGGCACTCCATACGCGTCCGGTATAAACAACTACAAAACATTCACCCAGGCTAGTACCAACCATTACACAGCCTCCAGTATGTAACAACAGTACTAACCTACTACCAACAAACATCCACTCAACACATTCACCCAGGATAGTACCAATCATTACACAGCCTCGAGTGTGTAACAACGATACTATCCTCAAACACAACTTTTACTCTCCACATGTGCACTTTCATACAAATAACTTCCATTTACATCTTCATGCCTTCTCCCCACAAAACATTTTCACTCTAGTCCCAGCCCCAAAACATTCCACTCAACTTACAAGTCGAAAATCTTGGCCAAATTCAAACTCCTCAACTGTAAAATTCTCCAGTCCTTGCCCTTTCGCTCCCTTGCCGACAAGTACGCCCTCACAAATAACAACCACGTACTGCCTGCCTCCCTCTTCCAATCGTATCTGCAACACAAAAAATTAATATTAACACATGCATATCACCAACACATTATTCTATTGCCACAAACACGCATAACAAATTCATAAACATCAAATACCCAAACCTTTCCACACTTCACGCCCTATATACACAACTTTCTTCCACTCAAATCAACAGGACACAAAAAAGGCCATTTCTACTCACTTCATCGGTCACGTCTCGTAAATCCATTTGGCTTTTAGCCTTTTTCACCACGGCTGGCCCCATCCATCACATCACTGTCGACATTAACAAATAAAATAAACATTAGTCAAAAACTTATTATGACACCACAAATAACTTTCTTACTTATACCTCATTAAATAATACACAAACAATCTACCAAACTCACCTCATATCAAAGTAAACCCACAAAATATTACCAACATCTTCCCCTTCAACGAACAATTCCATCACTATTTTACGCCTATCACTCATTCGTAAACCACACCTTCAACACAAACCTATCTTTCTAACCTACCAAAATCAACAAAAACATACATTTATACAATACCTTTTCAATTTTCTTTACCTTTACACCTCAAAACACAATTCTTCACCTCAGTCACCTCTACCCACCCAGTAGCGCTCAAAAACTGCCTCCATTCTCTACTCTGAAATTTAAACAAACACCATTAAACGACAACAAAAAATACAACTCCTAACCATATTAACAACCATTCATCTTCAACAGTCTCGGGGTGGTACCATCCCACCACCAACTTTTACATTATTGACCAAGCCTCTTCACTTCAATATAAGCAAACCATACTCTTTCAATTTCACATAACTCCTACAAACACAAACTTTCAATAATCACTTGCCTCCAGATAGTGCTTTCGCGACCACACTTCCAAACAACTCCACGACGTATACCCATTTTACCTACAAAAAAAAAACATTAAATCAAATTTACGCCTCTACAATATTACTAACATTTCTATTACCTGCTATTGTAGGCACACATTCCATATTATTAAACCTATGCCATCTAAAACTACCCTATCATTCATGCTAAAAATTATATTTACATTTGACATTAAGTCTCCCAAAAAAATAACATCAACTATAATAAACTCAATTTCTTACAATCAATTCACTAGGTACCTAAAAATCTTTACTCACACAATCGATATTCCAAGTCCCACCTCTAACGTATAGAATCACATCATGCGGCGCAGCGCAGCGCAGCACACCACACCACTTGCCGCCTTATTTTAAACCTCTGCTACTTCACATGGCTACCACAAAACATACCTGCAAACAGATTTCACAACAAAATATTAGTAGTCCTAAACCACTTATACAATTTTCTATAACGGCAACCCTTACACAAAAGTCATCCTACGCTCCCTGGCAACATCACCTTTCCAACACCTCAATTTAGTCTCACATATAAACCACAAACTTTGGCCAACAGTCTCATAGCCTTCAACAAACAATCCCTACCATAATTACAATATCATTGTCTACTCCTAATGGGATTAGTGCAGACGTCTCATACACGTCATAAGGCTTGGCTATTTGGCCCAAACTTCTTACCGCGAGCTCCTAACAACATATTTCATGACCTACAACTTTCAAAACTAACTTTCCATAAAACCTTCCGATTTAAATAACAAATTATAACATTTAACATCACCGTACGAAGTGTCGACACGCTCCTCTCACCCATTCCGCCATATTCCTCCACCACCAACATGAAACAGAAACAAATGTTACAAATAATCTGCTCTTCAAATAAATACACAATATCCATGCAACTTCAATTAACCAATCTTCCTCATTCCACGACAATACTTACACCTTTACTGCCTCTCATTTCAGTCCGGCGTTCATGTCCCTCTCCATTATCAAACACTTGTTAAGGACGGCAACAACTCCTGCACGATATATACAACACAATTAGTACAAACACAACTTAATACAAAAAATAACAAATACAACACGACCAAATTCGATATTCAATTTTCATCTCAATCTCACACACACATTCAGCCACTTAAGACCATACATTACGAAGTGTCGACACGCTCCTCTCAAATTCCGCCATATTCCTCCACCACCAATATGAGTTACAAATAATCTGCTCTTCAAATAAATACACAATATAGTGCAACAAGACTTCCTCATTCCACGACAATACTTACACCTTTACTGCCTCTCATTTCAGTCCGGCGTTCATGTCCCTCTCCATTATCACACTTGTTAAGGACGGCAACAACTCCTGCACGATATATACAACACAATTAGTACAAAGGACCAAATTCGATATTCAATTTTCATCTCAATCTCACACACACATTCAGCCACTTAAGAATACATTACCTTTAAGGAGATGGTGCTCGTTCCAACACTTGGCTCCTTTCAAACATCAAAGGCTTCTCCCCCACCTCTGGATGGCTACCATAAGTCCACTTGCTTAGCCAACACAGTCTAGTGCCCAGCTCCATACAGGTAGTAGAACCGCCCAACTACACAGCATCCCAACTTCATGCTTGCCTTCATGTCTCATTAGTTAAGTGACCACAAACCTCAAGGGCCGTCACATTTTGGGTCGAGGGCATACAACCCCAAACATTTTCTTGCCAACTTACTGCAAGCTCCAACAACTTTTCCCTGAATACGAATTCGCAACTTTCGATTTACAACAGGTACCTAATTTACTGCTAGGTCAACAGGGACACAGGGGTCTAGGAAGTGTGTCCAAACCACTTTCCACCGGCCTGGGATTCGAACCCGTGACTCTCACTTGCGAGGCGAGAGCGGTACCGCTCTACCGCCGGCACCCCCTCTTGCTCCAATCTCCAAATCTTTGTACCCACACCCTTCCAATCTATTACACACAAACTAGTCGTCACTCCTTCCATTTCCAACGCCGCCATACTGCGTCCGTCCACTCGGCTCTAGCCGACACAATTCGCCCAAGTTCCTCCACCGCCAGACACCAACCTGAAAAAAACCAACTCGTTACCCTTTTATCCTCACTCAAAGTATCTTTAACCATTTACATTCCAAAATAATCTACAGCCGAGGCACACAACTTTGACATCGAGTATAAACGAACAACGGCTCAAATTAGGCTACATTACCAAACTGAGCCACAAACTAACTTCAACACAATGCTTTATTTTAGTGCCAACTTTCTATTACTCTACGGCCAAAAATCAATTTACAATTTCACAAAAACAATTTTAATAACTTCCAATTAACAAGATCACTTACCCATCAGTCTACCTCAAAATAATAATACCTGCTCCTTCCACCTCCAACAACCTGAAAAAAATTTAATCGATTATTACCCAATATTTAAAACTCAAACTAATTCTCAATACTATTATATTACCCATGAACCACTTATCAACTTTCCTATTACATCTACAACTATCAGCTGCGACTTCACTTTAGTCATCAACAACACCTTCCATTTTAAATACCGTATTCACACAGTCGTCACCGTAAGTGTGGACGCGCTAGGCTCCACCTCAAACCGTCTGCCACGTTCTCTTCTTTTTTCCACAGTATAAGCCATTAGTCTTCCATACATACACCTGCAATAAAACTCACTAATTATCACTTTCTCAAAACCCAATGTCAAATTACATTTCATTTCATCCAACAGTAGTTACGACTCAACCTGCAAATTTTCACTTACATTTCAAACTGCCAATTTAAAACTACTCAAACCAAAGCATATACAATTAATCAAACTCTAATCTGCCTAACAATGTTACCTTAACCCAAACGGCCACCTCACCTACCCTATATCTACGACAATTTCATACTAACCTAAAAACACACAACCGAGAGTGTAGTACCATTATATAGCCTCCAGTATATAACAGCACAAACACAACACCTACTCACAAATTTCCCTCGCCTTACTTATTCCTAAACTACAACTTCCGGTCAATCCAACCACTTCTCTGCAAAAATCAACCTCTCCCCTACCTAGTTGGCTCCAATTTAACGCTCATGCGCCAGTCCTCTACAGCTTCCTCCTTGCGGTTCGTACAATCTGAAATAAACTACTACAAAATCTTAATACACGTACACTACATTTTATACAAACTAGTCATTAATACAATTTTCTTCACTAATTGCGCACACATACGAACATTTTTCAACTTCACGCCTTAATCAATCTTTTATTACAAAAATACTACCTTTGCTTTCTTTAATACTTATCCTGACAGTTATACGCCCAAAAACAGATCACCCAATTTCCTTTACATGCAGCCTTCCATCACAAAGTATTGACAGGTAAAATTACGAACACGAGACCCAGAATAAGGTCGGTGGATCTTTGGCCGACTGTGCATTCAAAACCTACGACTTTCAGCCGCTTATTTTACATACAAATTTCTTTTTAAACTAATTTCACCCTTTTATAGTCTACACTCGTAATTATAGCCATTATTTTTGTTTTTAATTATCAAAAATTCACACCACACACTACGCTCTCTTCCTACAACGCACAAAAACCTATACATTGTCACAATATTTATTTTCCTAACTACTATCACGTGGCCATTCCAATGATTATATACCGGTTATCAAGCCACACTCCAAACTCGTTTCACGCTAATAACCCACGTTCTAACGCTTCCCTCACAATACATTAACTAATCAAATATTAGTAAACAAGTACTTGTAATCGAGACCACACCATTTGCTTTTCTAGTCCACACTACACTTATTAAGAATTAACTAACTCAACTCGAGCTCGAAATATGGTTATTCACGTCAAATCCCTATCTTTTCATCACTAAGTAAACTCTCAATATTTATAGTCACTTACCTGCAGTCCTTTCCCCTCGTTCATCTCCGGTCGCTGGCGGAATAAGTATTTTCTTCACTTCCTCTCCGATTTATGGCATCAAAACACACAAACACATAAATACGGCATCTTTTTCAATTCACCGATTTTCAACATTTAACTATGATCTGTCCTACTTCAAGGTACAGTAATACAAAATCTATTCGTCTTATGGACAGTCAATCACAACCGTCTACACGAATAAACAAATATTATAATATGCACGGATTTCAAGTGCGTATCCAAACAACTTTAGCTCAAGAGGATATTTCAATCTCCAAAAACCAAGTAACTACATCGACTTACAATCTTGACGCTCTCGTCAATTCACTTTCCGTCACTTAATCTCAATGAGCTTTCTTACAAAAACGCAACACATTCAGCTAATTTCATAAAATTCACTTTAAATTTTCAAATCACTTGCCACGAAACATCAACGTTATTTCAATTAAACTAACGTATTTACAAAAATATTCTCTACTCCATGAACTTAAACACCTTCACAAACTCGCTAATTAATCACAAACACAGAAGGATCCTTAAATAGGTTTCACAGACCACAAGCCAAATACACCATACAACTTGTGTTAAAGAACTCACAAAAACGTTTAAGAAAACCGTTCAACTAACTGCGGAACGAACAAATGTCTTAACACCACTTTATAAGCACTTTTCTTTTCTTCTTCACTTTGTACTGTAGCTAATACTACCACCAGACACTAGTATCCGATTGTAACTGATTCATCCTTGCTCGTCCAGCCTTTAAATACCCTACCTTCCCGCCAACTCGCTACTGAACCGTCAAATTAGTCGCTCACTCCTCACTGAATCCGCTCATTCGAATAACTTCCAATTTTCACCATTTTATTCTTCACCTAGGCGTCACAGTACAAGGATACATTGAAAACTCTCGTGTAATCTTCAACATTATTAAAACAAACTCCATTTCGTAAACTATAGTCCAAATTTCTCCAGCTCAAAACCGCCAGAGTCCTGCTTTCCGAATCCCCGGGACCCCGAACTTCTCCAGTAAACACCGGCACAACCAAACGAGGGGATTATCACCAACTGCCACATAAACTACTCTTGGGGATTTACACCGAACAACAAACACCACACAATTTGTGATAAGAAAACGAACCAAAAAGTTAGGAGAGCAACTCACACACTACAGTGGCAGTATCGTAGTCAATAAAGTTTCCTTCCAACATGGAAATAACAACATACCCTACAACCACTCGCATCTCCATTCCTTGGTGACAATTACGAACGGTCAATTTAATAAAGTCACGACCCGAATAATGTTTACACATTACCGTCAAAGGTATATATTTATAACTTAATTATAACAATTAAAAAATCACACTTCAAATCGTGGTAACATTCTCGTATGTATTTACTAACACCATCTTACGTGTACTAATCCACATGATACTAAATGTTATATAATAATTCCTTGAAATAAATGTACACTATATTACCAGGTACCACATTTACTCTCCAAGGTGCTGTACTGTACGTGTGAGGCCTGAAATCATTATCAAATTGTACGAGTTTCACCTCTCTAACCACACCCGATGTAATTGACTCTCCTCGGAGCAAGTTTACGAGTACAGTATATTACATTCATCTGCCGAGTACAAACAACACTTACCACTCTACTTTGTTTTAATGTGTATGTTCGGTTCCTGTAACACATGTGTATCTTTGAATACTCACCTGTAAGATTTAAAAGCTTTGGAGAGTTTTAGTGTTTCTGCTGTTTAGTTAATTACAAGTAAACGTTAATAATAACTCAATGGTTCATTCTTCTTCTTCTCTCTTTATCAATGTACTTTTTATGCTATTGTCTTCAATTTTAGGACTTTTTTATATAACAATAATACTATTTTCATGTATATGTCTCTTAACAATCGTCTGACACTTCAAGTGAGGCCAATATTACTCTTGTAAAACATTTCATACATTCACAATTTCTACACAGATAAGTAAGGCAGTGAATACATTTTCACACCTCCTCTAAATACGCTTTTCTAATATTTTTTTTCACGTTATACACTTCTTTTATGTCACAATAAACTTTCAATCATTTACTCGTCATCAAACAGCCATTTGCACATCCGGATTGGCAAACCTGCCGGCGTTACAACCATTCGCATGGTGCGACCTTGACGTCATAAAAAGGTATGTTCCCAGTGGCTAAAACTTACCCTAACAAACAGCTTGTGATTGGTCAGGGAATGTGGACCGCCTGTATATAATGCCCGGTAGACGGCCTGAGAACACAGAACACTGGTGCGCGACGACCATACAACATCTATAGTGTTAAACTCTACTCAATATTGTAAGTAAATCTTGAAGTATTTAGCTTAGAAATTATTGGTTTGTGAATATGAAGCCTCAGTTTGAACTTTCACTTGACAAAAATGGTAAATTTTATTGGTCTTTGGATATTAACAAAACTAAACCTTTTAAGGAAGTCTTGTGTTGTACCATTCCACCAGGATAAAATTACATTAATCTTACGTTTTATTTCATCTCTAGAACACGCTCGTTAGACGAACGTGGGACCTATACGAGTTGACCGAGGAAACTGCAGTGTGACCTCTACCCCATCAGAACAATCGAGAGATTCTACAAAAGTTGTCTTGGTTTCTTTAACTGTTGCTGGAGAACACCATCGGAAGAATTTCTTGCCTACTCGAACCCTACCCCGGTTACTGGGAGGTGGATTCTTTCCACAACTTGAGTGAAAATATTCTTGTTACCTAGTAAGTGTTAAACTACAAGCAATTTGTCTCTTCAAAAAGATGCTTTCCAGCATTTTTGTTATTTCTTCAACTCCCTCCCAGACCCCATTTGTGGGTCATAATCTGTGTCCAGGTGTATTCCCAGTAAAGAGCTGTGTTGTATTATATTCTGTGAAAGTAAACCCAAATATGTTTGGGTTGAGTACATATTGAATATACAATGTATGTAACCAATAAGAGTTTAATAAAATTGTTCTACTTGTATACCACTTATGTTTTATGGAATAATTTAATTCCTAGATTTTACGGAATCAAAACCTTGAGTAGAATAAAATCTGAAGTACGTCTGCTATTTGTCAAGTTAGTCCTGAAATACGTACTATACTTTAAGATATTAAACGCTTTTACCTCTTGGCAAACACCGCTATATTCATCTTAAAATGTAATTACGACCTCACCCAAATGATGAGATTAATGTGCTGGTTTATACTTTCTAATCTTTTAAAATGCCCTTTCTCGTAGCCAGAATGGGCAAAAAACGAATACCCTGTACTGTAGTTCGATCTTCACTGGTTTAAACTAATCTTGATATAGTCTGATAACACCAGAAGTAGTGAAATAATACATTCCAAACAAGATATTTGAATGTGTTACCTAGAAATAATATGAACTTCCATCATTGACACACCACTACAGTACTAAATATTGACCCGAAGTCTTTCATTTAACACGACCAATGTGAAGTCGAAATTAGAGTAAAATTATAAGTCTGCTCATATAGTAAATTTAAGAGTTGCAATCTGTAGTTTGGACAAATCTTAGACCCTTCGTCTACTCAACCTTGACACCTCTATCTACTCTTCCTTGACATGCCTCTCTCCTCTACTCTACCTTGACACACACACACTCCTATCTGTACTCTACCTTGACACACCTCTCTCCATGTTTTAATCCCTACCCCTTAAAATCGATTTCTTCTACTTGTTCAGCCACTCGGGTCACCAAATCTTCCTCTTCCACAAACCACACTTTCTCCTTCAGTAACCTACAGGGGCTCTTCTCTTCCCAGCTGAAGCCGGTTCTCTGTTGTGACTTCAAGATTACCTCACTTTTCGTCTCCCTACCATTGGCCTGTTAAAACCCAAATATATCATCCCCTAAATTTAAGCTACTGTTTTACATTAATATATTTTCTTCCATTTATAACGTTCTCATTACACTTTTGTGTATGACTTTTCTTATAGAGCAATTATGAAAATTAAAGTGCCCAATCCCAATTTTAACCTCTGGACATCATTTTGACCTGGGCTCATTAACCTGTTCCTCTGCTATACCCCACACCTGCCAAAAAATATCCATGGATATCTACAGCTACCCAGTCATCAGTACACTGTCACTTCAAACGTGCCAATGTTTAACAGGTTCCAATATGTGCCCATTTGTTAAGAAAACATACTGATAGTCCAGAAGTGTATCTTGAAGTATTTGGCTTTTCAATTATTTGTTAGTGATTCTAAACCATAGTTTGATTTTTCTCTTGACAAAAATGCTAAAGTTTATTAGTCTATGGATATTAACAAAACTATACCTTCTAAGTCTTGTGTTACACCAGGGTTAAACTACATTAATGTTCTTGCTTTTTACTTTATCTCTAGCACACGCTCTTTACACGAACGTGAAGCCTATACGACTTGACCGAGCAAGCTGTAGTGTGACCTCGACCCCATCAGAGCGATTGGGAGATTCTACAGCAGTTATCTTGGTTTTTAACTGTTGCTGGAGAACGCCATCGGAAGAATTACTTGCCAGCTCTACCGCGGTTAGTGGGAGGCGGATCCTTCCCACAGCTTTAGAGTGAGTTTCTGGTTTCCTACCAAATAAGTGTTACACTACAAGCAACTTGTCTCTTCAAAAAACTGCTCTCCAGCATCTTTCTTATTTCTTCAAGACCCGTAAAGAGCTATGTTTCATTATATTCTGTGCAAGCAAAGTCAAACGTGTACGGGTTGAGTACATATTGAATATATAATATATGTAACCAATGAAATTATTCCATTTATATTTTTTATACCATTTAAATCCTTTATTATACCGAATCAAAATAGAATAAAATCTGCACTACGTCTGCCATTTGGAAAGGGTCTCAAATACTGTACTTAAACGCTAATACCTTTTAGGAAATACCGCTCTATTCATCTTCAAATAGTATTACATTTTCACAACATAACCCAATGATGAAATTAATATGCTGCTTTTTACTTTCAAAATACACATTCTCGTATCGACAGTGGCCCTGTACTGTAGTTCGATCTTCACTGGTTTAAACTAGTCTGATAACACCAGAAGTGGCAAAATACTAAATTCCAATCCACATATTTGAAAATCTAACCTACAAATATGAACTTCCATCTGACATAATAGACCACTACAGTACTAAATAATGACCCGGTCTTTCAATTTAACACGACCAAGGTTCAGTCCAAATTATAGGTCTGGTCATGCAGTGAATTTAACATTTGGAGTCTGTACTTTGGGCAATTCCAAAAACCTTTTCTTCTATTGCATTTCCGCCACAACGTGTATTTTATTCTATAAAATTACCTTTTACTTGTTTAACATTGGAAAGACTTTGAAATTGAGGAAAAATTGGCATTAAAAAAACACTGGGTTCAACATGTAATGACCACGGTCGTGCATGTTACTTAACGTAAAATCGGACGATTCTTATTACGCTCAAAACGGTCGGTCGGAACACCGACATAAAACAGCCGTGGCTCTGAGGTGAACAGGGATATTTAGGGCAAGGTATAGTGGGAACTACAGAAGGAGAATGAAAGCGGAGGCTGGTTTGTGGGTTAACGTGTAGCTGTGCTTTCTTTATGGAGTCGCCCGTCTGACGCGTTTCATTTCTCGTCGCTTCGGGATGTCCGAGTCCTCCGTTTTCTCTCCGTCGTCACAGTGCACCCACAGACTTTGTTATTCCTTCGTATAACGACACACAATTGGAAATTGCAGCTGTGGTGGTATGTGTTAAGGCAACTTAGATATGTCTCATTATAGTTAGAAGATCCATTAAGTGACGTTCAAAGCTTCAACTGTCTTTGTTGTTAGTAAAACCAGTCGAGTCTGTCAGTACGAGTGGCTTGTCCTTGGGGATAGCTACAAGTTTCCAAGTACTACTGAAATTAGATCATTTTGATGCCCAAACATCAGATCGAATTTACCAAGAGTATTGAAACACTTTGACCTACCCATGACTCCAGCTGCTAACCAGTCACCCCCCCCTCCCCCTCTTGCTCGCGGCCTACTCCACCGCCGCCTGGCATCACTGCTGGCTACCTAGCCTGCCCCTGTCCACCTGCCGGGGCCCGTCCAATCCGGTTCTCCGCATCGATTGACCACCGTGTGGACGTGCTAATGGACTACGTATCTACGCCGAGAACAACGTCCGCGCCATCGCACTACAAGATATGTCCCTTAATATTGTCAATGCCTGGCACTTAACACATTAGGGACCTGCCACGCTTTGCCATAAACATAAATCTTACCGGGAATTCCCCACGAGCTCCTCTTTCTGTCACTTGCTGACAAAACCCATGACCCTTCAGACTTTTACGCCCTCAATGCACGAGTCGTAAAAGCCGAGCGCGAACTCCGCACGCTTCCCGGATAGGCACTGTAAACGCTTCTTCACCTTGCACGGGATGTAAGGGGGTGCCCAATAAACTAACCCCCCCTCGGGGGCAATCTGGAAACTCTTGGGGTATTTGTGAACTGGAAAAACTGCCAGTGTTATGAGTGTGAATTAAAGACCGCATTTCATCAACGGTGGTGCACATTCTCTCGTACATTGTGGAAACTGTACAGCCCAGTGATTGCCAACGGAACATTACAAAAACGTGACTGACCACTCAAACGGCAGAGTATCTTGAGATGTAGGCTTGTTGTGGTAAAAAAAAAGGTTTTGTCGGGTATTCTTGGTACCGTTACTGTTCGGCTCTGACATACGACAGATCTGATGTTCCAACCGGTGACTGTGGGGAGTGGAGGATTCCTTACCTGTTAAAGGGATTTTCATGGGTATTGTTATAACAGTAGGTACAGATTGGGTGGTACACTCACCCAAAAAAGTCCTGTCGCGAACCCCGAAGCATTTGTGGACAGAATAATGTATCGGTGTCTACTGCTTCGAGTTCGCGACGGGACTTTTTTGGGTGACTGTACCTTGTAGCGTACTGTAAGTGGCCAGTTGTCAATTCTTTTGTATGGGCACACAAACGTACGTACATGTCAATATCTCACAATGCA